CCTTATATATTGAAATAGATATTGTTACTGCAGTAGAATCCGCTTGTAATGACATCTAAAGGAAATGGCAAACATGTCATATTAAGCGGGCGTCATACAAAGCATAGTCTTAGAAAATAACGTTCTATTTTGGTTAGTTATTTAGTTTAATAGAAAAACTACAAATTGTATATATTTATTAACAGAAAAAGAACAAGAACGATGAATTGTAATATGAATATACATAAGAAGGATCAGAAAAATCAGCGAAAATGTTATTATTAATCATTTGGGTCACTATAGCCGGATATGATTTCTTATGAATCAGTCATGATAAACGATATATCATTCTAAAGGAGTCATTATATCCAAACTTTCCCATAGAGTATTTAATATGGAAACCAAACTTAACACTGCAATTACTTCATATTAAGCGGTTGATCAATATAGGCGGAGACATAATAAACGAATTCCACTGTATATTACAAACGTAATGGTTTCATCCATCAAAGAACCTTCAGATTTCATGACTTCCTGTTTCCACTTGCAACATCCCTTGTATTTTTCGCTATTTGAGTCATTTATTTTCACTAATCTTGTATTAAAACCGACTAAGAAGGTTTAAGTGGGTCCAAATACTCACCGGTTTTAACGGTGTACGCAGTTGTAGACATTTTGTAACATGCTACTTACAACATATACACTAGTGGCGAGTTCAGAACTGAACATCGTGCCCTCAGTCAAGTCCAATAAATGCAACTTAAAGTTTTTGAATGAGGTTACACTTTATTCAAAAGCTTCGAGAGTTCGCTAGGATAGTTTTCAGTGAAGTACATAGATACCTAATTAAACGAACCATCACTACTTAGAAACCTTAAAGTACCTTTATTAAAGTTATAAGTATTACTTTATTATTTATCATGTCTACAAATTTTCCCTCATCAAGTCGCATTTTTATCAACAATAACGACAATATCCCCAATATATGCAGCTGGTGATATAGTGCAAACACCACTATTAGTTTAGAAAAACTGCTAAATTTAAAAAAATGAGTACTGTTGTCAATATTGCTTCTATTTTATTTAAAGCTATCTCTAACTCCTCCTTGCCAGATGCTAATACTGCTATATCATCTGCAAATTTAAGCATACTAATCCTTTACCCCTGCTTATCTATCCTTACAATTGCACTGTCTTGTTGATGTTGATCGCATCTTCGATGTATAGATTAAAAAGTAGATGTATAAAATGCTCGATATTTATTGAAATACTTAAAAATTACGCTGGATTTCTAAATTATTAATATCATAAAACAGAACACATGTTATGATGGGTTCACNGTATTAATTAATTTTGCTGCATTCAAATTGTGTTAATTTGCGCAATAAAAATTTGTTACAATCATTTTTACATAAAAGACACAGAGGATTTAAAGACAAGAGTTAAAGTAGAAATCAAGTAAAACATAATAACAAAATATAGGGAAAATTAATAACGCAGTTTCTTATTAAACTGTGCTCCTTATCACAACTTTGAAGTCAAAACAATAAAAACCAAGGCCCCACGAAATTAAAAACTGGAATCCTAATATTAAATATATGTATTTGGGATAATAAAAAGATATATCTCATTAAAATTTAAAATTTGGAAGAATGTTGTAGTAAAACTATACTATTGAAGCAAACCAGGATTTCCACAAAAATGTAGACCTTAAATAAGGTTCTACCTACCAAAAGCATACTAAAAACAACAATGATATAACAGAAAAAGCAAAAATCAGTGATTTACAAAATAAAACAAAGATTGTAACGGAGTCTACGTCGGCCAAACAGGACGATCATTTGAGTAATGGATAAAACAACGTATTTGCTTAATGCTTTCAGTTATGAGGAACGAATTAATTTTTTCAAAGATGGACATGCAATCAGTAGAAGTCAAAAGTTAAACTTTTTCGAGGATATAGAAGTAAAACAAATACAATTATTCGCAAAATGTAAAAATTCGAAAATAGCAAAGATGATAAAATCATTTGATGAAGATATCACATTCCTTGAAAAACCAAAAACAATAATAGCATTGATATGATTAAAAAGGAATATTGTTAATAAATTACCAAAGGAATTGGAAATTTTAAACATTGTATACTTTTCACATTATAAAAACATATAATGAAGGCCTTCACTTCAAACAATTACCGACACATCTAACAAGATAATATACCTAGCGATTCCTTTTAATTAAGAATCTCAAAACAAAAATCGTGGGAACATATCTGGGATCATCCGTTTGTGCCTACGGTATAACCTTGTACAAAATACCACAGGTATTAAGTGTGTATCTATATTGTTTTATAGAAGCATGGTGTATTAAGCAGGTGTATACAAACAAAGAAGGGGGCTCCCTTCTTTTGTAGCTTTGGTTCAATGGCTACGACGAGAAGTACAACACAGTACAAACCACATTACAAACAGTTCAAACAAAATCGTCGGCGCGCGGTCGAAAGTTTAGGTGACGGTAACCTGAAGTGGGTCGAATTGTGGTGCATTTGCATATATGAACTCGTATCGATTTAAAGACGTTTCGTACTTTTTTTTTACTTTGACAGCAAATAATTTATTAAAAAGTGTTGACGGGCGATCTTTTTATTAAATAAACTCGATAAAAAAGTATCTACTGTGAACTTCTTATGTGATATCTACGCAAGGCAACTTTGTGAATGGCAACATCAGATAGTGTTTATAAACAGGTTAGCAGTCTCTTACTATACGAGAAATCAGTAGCTATAATAATATGGAGAGGTGAAAGTAAAATCGTGAGCGGTAATGAAATACTTGTTTTTTTTCTCTCTCGTACGTCTGTTTCAATTAAAAAAGATAAAAAATAACGTCAACAAGCGTTCGGAAATATTCCAAAATGTCCCTATTGTAGGTAATTTGTTTTCAAAGTTAAATGGAAAAAGTAACACTTATGGAAGTTTCACTGAGTTTGTTATCAATTGTGACATATTTGTTTCGACTAAAGGGTAATTTTAATTTAACCCGGTCGTCATAAGGTTGTCAGTCGTGCACCTCCACTTTTTCCTATCCTGAGCTAACCCCTAAATTTATCCAAAACATCCCACATCCTTAACTATTTATGAACAGTAATCTAATCTAGGTCTACCTCTATTCCTCTTAACTCCTGTTTCTGCTTCTAATATGTCTCTTACTAGTCCTTCATTGCTGAAAAGATGTCCTATTTCTTATTGTTTTTAATATCTAGTCACATTTAACTTTCTTTATTCACAGTAGCCACATCATTCGTTTTAACTCGATATACATAAGTAAAATTTAATAATTCATATAACTCAAGACGCTTTTATCAATACAAAATTATGCGGCGTTTCTAAGAACGATGCCAAAACATCTATTGGGTATTTTTTTTTGTTTTCGTGAATGAGGGGAAATATTCAAAAGACACCCAGCCGTCCTTCATTGTCTGAATCGAGATTTCTGCGATTTTTAATTCGATGGATATAACTGCTAAATTAATTACCCTAAAAAGTTTCACTTTCGGAACGAGGGGTGATGGAGAATTGCACGCTCGCTAAGGGAGAGAATCAACATTCGGTTTTCTCGCCTAGATGAGTAATATTACTACGGAATCCGAGGCGTTTTCAGTTAAGTCATTTTAAATAGTTACATACTTCTTTTACATTGTCATCTTTACTGAATTCAAGGCGGTTTACGTCATACGAAACTTAAGAACATGAGAAAAAAGTTGGCTACGTTCCTGGGTCATTTGTATGTTATTGAGACAAGAAAGACAGTAATCGGCTATTGTATTAGATTGTAGTTACTTGAATGAACTGTAGTTATTTTGATCTGAATTTCTTCAGCAAATATTGTTCTTCTTCTAAGAGTTAGTATCATAAAACAACTGAAGTTAAGTTCCTTTTTAAAAAATGATCTAAAAAAAAACATTTTCGAAAGTGCCGTTTAAAGTTATACCTACCCAGACAACAACTATTTGAAAGTCATTTCCTTTCTTGAGAATGCTTATCTTTGTGTCTGTGTGTGTGATTTCCGCAAAACTTCTAATGGTGTTTGATGACTCATGGGAAATAAACGCTACAAATTAACCGACAGTTCTGTCTTCATTTGAGAATTAGTTTAATTAAAATAACATTAAATGATATATAAAGCTCCTGGAATTATTAGTTTAATGTATATTAGGTATAACTTCTAACATTTTGATTGAGAAAGTTAAAACTAATCGACAAATCTTTTCTTTTCTTTATTATTTAACACAGGGCAATTATTCATATAAAAAACTTACAATTGCTTATGTCAATTCACCTTCAGAAGACTTAATGAGTACGGCTACATTTTCTTATAAATTATACCCCATTTTGTTTCCATTACAAATTAATCGATTTAAATTCAAAATCATCAAACCGAAAATATTTACCCATTAGTCATGTTCGACGGGTTTCTAAGAATTATATTTTTAATGCTCAAATATATGCAAGCGCATAAATACCACTTTGAACAAATATTTTCATCTTATGTTTTCAACCTGTTTTTGTTTACATGTAAAACGAAAATTAAATTTATGTTATTAATAGAAGTATGAATGCCATATTTCTATGTAAACGTAACAGAGTAATCAACACGACTGTTCTTTTTTTTTCATTTACTAAATCCGTTTTCTTCAAAATTCTGCATTTTATAATAAACAGTTTTGAATATCTGTTGCATTTTTATCAATATATATAAATGCATTTCCAGTCCTTTCAAATTTTAGAAGCCTTAGAAGCAATGCTATTCAATCCCTTCTATGAACAATTAATTGTGGATTTGGGTATCAGGCGTTTTGATTCCCCGACCAAATATCTCAAAAAAATCCCTAACAAAATATCCCCAGTCAAAATATCCTTAAGACAGAATATAAATTATTTTTATATTATGTTATATTTTATTAAATAAATTTACGTATTTTCTCTTAATTTGTTGCAGTTCTTTATTTTGTTAGTGAAATATTTTGTGTAAGTTTTTTTTGTCTTGGGCACATTTTGCCCGGGGATATTTTGTTGGAGGAACAAATATCATGGAACCGGGGCTTGCTAAACCAATTACTTTATATTACGTCCTTTCTAATTTGTAATTCAAAGGACTTGGAGATTCAAGGACTAATACAGTATTTGGACTTAGGAATTATTTTAATAAGATCTCTGCCACATACATACGAGACACAAAAACTATAATAATGTATTTAAGGTTTAATAAATACCTATTGCTAATAAATTAGGCCTTTACATGTTATTGAACCCGCGGCGGAAATGACCGCGTACCCCTAGTTAGGTAAAGGATAATGAATTTTTAGTAACCTTATTATTCAGCATGTTTGTAAGGACTTCGCAACAACAAACGCTGACAACACAAACGACTAAAGTTAGCATTGTAATCGATCATTAAAATTAATTGGACCTACATATAACAAGAAACGATTAATTATGTTAATTATTTAATTGTTAATGTTGGTATTCATTCGAAGAAAAAGTTAACTGAAAATTTTTAATAAAAAGAAAAGTAGAGCATGAATTATATCTATTACGGGTACGAAATGTTAAAACTTATTAGTCTAATATGAAATTGTAGGTAAAAGTTGTAATATATATCATACATTTTCTTTACTGTGTTCATTCAGAGGTTTATATAGAACTAGTGACCCGCCCCTGCTTCGCACGGGTGAATTAGACAATACAAACCGGCCTCCCGGCCGGTACCCCCGCAACTGCTATGTCCCTGCATTTTAAATCTGTAATATCTTCGAAAATATTCATTTAAAGTACATGCCGTAAAGAACCACATTGATCTACATTAAATGCACAATGTATTTAAGGTACTTAATTGGATAAGAATTAATGCTGTATTGCCTACAATCGCTTCGTAAATAAGTCATTATTTCTCATAAAAAGTAAAGGATAAAAATGGTTATTGTGGGTTATCCCTAAGAGATAGACATATACCATCCCGGACTTTTTTGTAGACCCTTTTAAGATGTACAATATTGTAGTACATTATTTTGATCTATCTCGTAGGGTTCAGCCAACGTTTGCACTGTAAGCGCAACAAATGTGTTTATTTACGACATCGCATTAGAAACCTGTAAAATTATCAGTGTTTCCCTACTATATTATGCATGTATTATACATATAAACCTTCCTCTTGAATCACTCTATCTTTTAAAAAAACCGTATCAAAATCCGTTGCGTAGTTTTAAAGATTTAAGCATACATAGGGACAGACAGCGGGAAAGCGACTTTGTTTTATACTGTGTGGTGATTTCGGATTAGAATCTTAGGTACAGAATCAGTAGAATAAAATTTTTTGATCCCTTCCGATCTCATTAGCACGCCGTAGATAGTTCTGTCAGAACATTAACTTACTTGCTACCTTTAAATAATGCAGAGTTACGAAATATTTTTTAATAATACCTAAAAAATCAAATTTAACAGCAATGTTGTAATTATTGTGTTTACATTAAATAGGAGCAATTAAAATATCATGAAAATATTAATTACCGGCACGTCTAGTAATTGAACGTAACTAATTCGACATTTATTTCTTTACAATTTGTTTGATTGCATTTTAATAGTTATTAATAAATTGTATTTATTACCTTTTTATGTAATGCTTACCATTATTAGTTTGGACTTTCCAAATTCATAAAATTTAGTAATTTTTATGTGCAATTTTTCTACATTACTTCAATCCCTGCACAAAAATTTGTTGTAAGAATTTTCAAAATAGATTCATCTTTCCTTTTTCAAAAATCTTTGGTGTAGGTAAGTAAGTGGTAAAAATTCTCATCGACATTTAATGGAAGGACAGTAAGTCAATAAGGGCATTTTTAAACAAAATTAGTCCTTGGCTGGTACCGTTTAGTAAATAACATGATGAAAATATTCGCAGTTGGTGTTACAGATTATCAATTCAAATGGATAAGAGTAACCAAGCAATATAAAGGGTGAAAAGTGGTTCATTTATCTGTAATCAACACCGACGTATCGTTTTTGGTGTAAAACTTTCTCATATCATACAAGTGACTTTATAATCTACCCTGAGGAAGGTTTCCACCAAAAGCGAAACGTCGGTGTTGATTATTAGTAAATAAAACACTTTTCACCTGTTCATTAGTAACAGTGAAAGAATTACGGATATGTTTCAAGCCAAATATTTAGCACCCTTTCGCAAATTTCCTTGATAGATAGATTATACCCACATTGCGAGTGCATAGCATAAAACAACAATGAGTTATTTATTAAGTTTCGACTTCCGCACGATTTTACAATTTATTTTTGTTAATCGTCACGGTATTGAACAATAAATTGCAACACATTCATACCTGCTATTATGTTATTTGTGTTTTAAAAACGAATTATTAGTGTATTCAAGACAACCTGAATAACTTTGTGTTTTACATGCTAAATTGACTCTATATCTACACGTCACCTTGGCATAGTTGTCATTACTTTCACTAAAATGCCATTTTACACAAACATACTCTATTCAAGTTTAATTGACGCATTTTGCTGCTGCCAGGTAGGTAACAGTGTCTTACAGCGAAACCAATCATGTATAAAGATACGTATATTGTATAATGAAAAATGCAATAAGCGGATTTGTTTATGACGCGGTACTTATTAGGGGAAGATCAATTTGGGTTTAGAAGAAATAGAGGAACGCGGAAAGCATTGGCTTT